ATTAATCGATTATTAAATTAGTCATYGATTATTTTAATAATCGATTAGTTGTCGATTAATAGACTAATCATGGCAGCCCTAGTTGAAAAACGTACGGAAGAAAAAATGATCTCAATATAGTGAATGCTTCATAAACACTTGTAGTTTCACATCCTGAACACGACTCTCATAAAGAGCAAAACCTTTGTTGCAAAAGTTGTTGCAGTTTTTCCACATTTGTAAACCATTCGTTCACGTTCTGTTTTAGAGCTTTATAGTATTTTATTTGTCTGCCAGCAGTTCAGGTGGGGGGGTAGGTGGTAAAGAACCCAGGTTTGAGCTCCATGTGTTTGGGGGTGGGGGGGGGGGGGGGGGGTGTTAGTAGGAGAGCTTCCTCTCCTCTGATGCACGACTGGGCTTTAGCTCCATGGCTGTAGGCAAAGAAAAGCAAGAATCAGATTCTTGAAGGGAAGGAAGTCTGGAGTCTTCATGCCTTGTTTGGCATCACCCACTCTTGCTGCACAATAGCTCCATTTGCCCCGAAGATGCTTCTGTGTGTGTGTGTGTGTGTGTGTGTGTGTGTGTGTGTGTGTGTGTGTGTGTGTGTGTGTAGCTTTCCATTCGTGCGATGTACAAGTGCTAAAGATGGTCCCCCCCTCCCCTGGGACCAGCACTTCCATGCACGACTTTGCCTACACAGACGCTGGCCGAGGAACACACGAAAAGCTGCCCAAGTTTGAAACGGCTTCATTAGATTTGCAAGCGAGAGCTGTAGTCATTTGTCATGGGGTAAACAAATAGCCCGTTTTGGACAGCATCTGTGCTAAGTCTTCAGTCATGAGGAGAGATGACAAACCCCCCCTCAGGTTACATATTATTCCCATTCACGTCACAGACGTACACATGCAAGCGAGCCAGGCTCAGCACTTGTGTACCTCATGTGGTATATAGGTTAGTAAACCTGCTGTCGGGTTCCTTTTATCTCTCCGTCCTCCGTTAGCTGATCGCTAATTTAGCTAAAGAAATAACAAACCGTTATATTTTCAGTCAGAATCAAACTTGTCAAATAGCATCWCCTCCACTCTTAAGGTTCATTAGTCATTCATAAAATTCATTCTTCTGTCCCGTTAAGACGAGCGTGTTTACACAGAAATCTTTACCATAATGCATAAATTATCATATATTATGACCTCATTTAAATAATGTTTTATGTCTGGAAATTTTCCTCCTGCAGGACCTCAACCTCTACCTGCAGGACAGAGTGTTTCTGGCAGGAAACCACTTCACCCTCGCTGATATTCTCATGTGCYACGGCCTTCATCCGATCATGGTGAGTGACTATTCATCTGGTTCGGTCCTACGTCTTCGTTTCTCCGTCTRATAACAGGAATCCCAAACACCAGTCAGATTCTGGCAGAAAAAAGTGCAGTCTTGGAAAAAACACAAAAGTTCACCAGGTTTAGCTTGAGCCTATAAAAAAACTRTTCTRTGTATRTCTAGGCTGTAAAAACAGAAATAAAGTTTAGATTTTCCTCTTTATACTGGTTTTTGAATTACTTTAATATGCTGAGAAATACTCCCTCAAAAACAGTAAATCGGTTTGTTCACCAGCTTTGTGGAATTTATCTGATTTTTAGCGCTGCTCTCCAGCATGAAAAAAAAACTCACTGATTTCTACAACTGCGCCATCTGAGAACAGTGCGTTCATTAAAAATGGTTTTTATATCAATGAATAGAGGAGATTCTAACCTTTCTGTACATATAAAACACTTTGTATATATGATAAAATTTAATACAGAAAAGATGAAAAGAAACTCCAAGTTTCAGTTTGTGATTTTCACCCWGAAAAACCCATCACAGACCCCCAAACTTGGTATCAAAATAAAGATAATTTAGTTTCCTACGTGACCCTGAATGTAACATCCGGGTCTGAACAACTGTGCGTTTGCATTATATTAGGGGAATTCCCGAACCGGCAGCCCTCCCCAGTCAAAGCAGGTGTCCGGTTGAGGACACTCATCTGCATGGATTACTCACTAAACATGGTAATAAATCCACTTTGGGCAAAAATCATTCATGTCTTAATCAAAACATATGTTTTAGATTTAAGTAAAGCTTTTTTTCAGGAGAAACTATTACCTGAAAGTTAGTTTTTAGCAGCTGTACGTGCTGCCCGTCTCCGGTGATTGAGAGGAGGAGAAAGTCCGGTAAAAGAGCTTTTGATAAGTTGTGCTGTGATGAAGATGATCTTGACACTAAAATCTAAAAACTTTGTTGATTCAATGACCATGAGCACAGCTGAGTGATTTATTGTGTCTGTATRTATTGTTACGGCCATAAACCCATCAGCCCTCCATCCATCTATCTGTTCTTCTTCTTTTTCATTTCTATTAGCTCTTACTTTAGTCAGCYCAYAATCTAATTACCAATTTGTCATCATACATAACACACAGTTAGACCAGTCATAAGGCCAAGGGACCATCCAGAACAAGTTGAACACACAGATCACATTCTCAGTCCTCTTCAAACAGATAAAGCGACKTGGCGTAAAGTGATGGCTTTAGCCTCAGACCAGGGACAAGTGAAGTTTGTTCCGCCTCCCAGGATGAAAGAAAAGTGAGTTCAGACGTGAGGAAGGCAGCGTGAGACGGCAGGGAGGGAGCGATCACGTGTTGGGACATGTCAGCGGCTGTGGCGGAGATGGAGGTTTGGCGCTGGCCACCGGGCTGAGGAGCGTCACTTTGATTTGCAGTCAGCGTGGTTTTTAACCTCGGGGACAGCGGGGCCGGCTCGCCCTGACCTCTGACCTCAGCCTGAGCCGATGTTCAATTCATGCAAAACAACTTCACACAAGCATTAAACCTGACTGCTGCTGAAAGGGCTTTACACTGAGTGTTTGTCAGCGGCTGTGATTTTCTTATAGCTTTAATTTAAAAAACACTAATGAAGGTTTTTTTTTCTTCTTCTTTAGATATGTCATACCTGCATTGTTTCAAAAATAATGAAGTATTTTCAATAAAACAAAGTCACTACATGAAAGTTAACTAGTTTTTTAAATTATTTGCCTTATACTTTGGACAGCTCCCATCATGCTTTGCTTCCAGTGAAGCATAATTCACATGTACTTTTTGAGGTGATTTTTATTTGGTATCACCATCAGTACATATGTTGTCAGTGGATTATCAAAATATATGCAAAATACCTTTGTAAAAGCTGCTGTTTATTAATTTATCCCATTATTTTTAATCACCTTTTAGCTGTGTTTTAATCAATTATTCATTTTTTGTTTGAATTTAGACCTAAATAGGTGATAAAATCCAGACTTTTGTTATAATTACAATACAAATTTGTAAACTAAATATGGAGCAACAGGTTTAATAAGACTTCCGTACAGTTTTGGTTTTATTAAGTCATCCCTGTTGTTTTTTCAGATTAGTATCTCAGGAGATTTATTGTGGAAGCTGTAATCAATAATTTATTTTGTGAACACTGAAGCTTTCACATAATTCAGACGATTCATTTTTTTTCTTCCAAACGTTTTTCAACATAGATCTCATTCCGCAATTTTCGTGCTATTTCAACAATTCATGCATGAAACCTTTCAGCTCCTTCGGGGCGTCCTGGCTGTGAATTTTGGTATTTCAGCCGTTTACACATTTTGAGATATTTAGCTTTTTCTGCCATTTTTGTTCTCATTGAAAAAAAAGTTAACACTTTCTTTCACTTTTCATCTTTTTCTTCCTATTCTGCTTTTTCTTTCTAAATTTTTGTGCTAATTTTAGCTTTCATCATCTTTTTTCTTGCTAATTTTAGCTTGTTTCTGTTTTTTCCAGCTGTTCTAATTTAATTTTGTTTTTAACAACTTCTTTCTGATAATTTAAGTTTTTTATGCTTCTTTCAGCTGATTTCTGCAATTTAAGCTACTTTTTAGCTCATTTTTCAGCTAAATTCACCTTGTTGTAATTTTAGCTACTTCCTTCAGCTGCTTATTTTAGCAAACACATGCTTCCCTGCTTCTTTATCCTAGAATCAGATTTTTCAGCAATTGGTTTAGCTACTTTTCTGCTTATTTCAGCATATTTGGCTTTTTTACAACAAATTTAAAAACATAAGTTTTTTTTCCTGCAGCAATAAGTATTTACATTGTTTTTTCACTGAAAAGACAAATTCTCTGGTTACTGTATTTAATGTCTTTCCTTCAGCATCAAATAGTTTTTTTTTTTTTGTCCTTTTTGCTCAGGTGGATTTGTCCATCCAGGAGAAGGAGGAGTACATGAATGTTACCCGTTGGTTTGATCACATCCAGCACCACCCCAGTGTTCGACACCACCTCCCTCCAGTAGTTGTCCTCAGGAACAGAATTTACAGCGCTTTACGCCACTGAGACCCCACATGGCCCTCCATCACCTAAAATACCCAACCAGATGTGGTACGACACTCCTAACCCTCAGACCAGTCCGGAGCTGGTGATCTCCAGCCTTTCTTCCACCACAGTCACAGATCAAGGACGTTCCCACTGAGCCATATCAGTCTTGTCTTATTACTGATTTGTCTGCACTAAAGAGTGCTTTAAAACAAACTAGTTAAATTCAGTGTTTTTAGCAGTCGAGCTAACACTATTTATTCTGCCGTCTTAACCCTTTTCTTTAGTGTGATGAGACGTTTATGTTCTGACAATATTTGTCAGCTGTTTTCATGGTTTCAAAGGGAAAGCTGTATGAGGGGTGTACTGCTGCTAACCTGGTCAAAAGATGTTTTCTCTTTGTTTAATCTGAGCCTGACGGGTCTTTCAGGTTAGAAAACTTGACTGGAGCAGTTTTTACATGCAGCCGCAGTAACTCATGTCTTAGATGTTATAATCCCACATTGTTCTAATTTTGCAATTTTGTCTTATTAAATCTTTTTTGGCTCGTTTCAGTCTTTCGAACATTGTTTTTATCATGTTTTTTTTTTTAAGTAAAGCCGTAGCTTTTTACTGGACGCTGCCGTGTGCGTCACGTTCCCACCCGTTTCCATTTCCTCGCCACCAGCCGTGTGGGCAGCGGCGAGCAGTTGAACGTCAGCCCCAGAGTCAGAGATCAGAGTGAGGCTCCAATCAGTCCCACTACCACCACTGTTGATGCTGCAGGCCACGGAGAGGGCAGCGGGCTCACCAGCTGCCACACAGATCCAGCCAACCAAGGCCAGAACCCGGGCCCCTGGGCGACAGTCAGCCACTGTGTGTCATTTCACCCTCGCGCTCCCACGGGGGGCTTCTGGAGAGAGAGAGACGAAGGGGAGGCAGAAAGTGAGCGAGGGAGGAATGAAGGAATAGAGGCCACGCAGCGAATGTGCACCCAGAGGCCGAGGGATCTTTTTCCTGGCATGTGAACAATGATCTGTCTGCTGCTAGCTGCAGCGTGGCTATTATCTAATAAATGCTAATGGGAGAGAACCTGTTTAACATCAATAAGGTAGAATAACTCGTACTTCCTGCTAATGGTGCATGTATTCATGGCGGTTTAGGGAACTAGACAACCAATACTTCAGGTAATCAGAGTGGGTTCACGTTCCTGAACAGCCACAACAAACGAATCAGAGGAAAAATATCTGAAGCACTTTGTATCAAACAAAGCATTGATTCAGATCAGCTATAGAAAAGCTTGAGAGACTAGAGTATGGCAAGCAGTTGTGTCATGTAATCAGTGCTTTGAAAAGGTTCAGTATTCTTTCTCATTTTCTGCACACTAGCTGAGAAGCTAAGGAATGGAAAATATTCAGTTCTGCTGGGTTTTCTTTGTTCAAATGCAATGTAGGTGAAATTAAAGCAAAAAGTTATTTTTTTTATTTTGTTGTTTTATAGCCTTATTTTTGTTGGTTTTATCAAACTTCACGGAACCTGTGCGTTATTTACGGTTCAGACTGGATTTTAACAAGTGGTAAAATAGGATTTGTTTTAATTTATAGATAGTTGTCATATTTAGCCTTTCTGTAAAATCTGTGAAACTTTCCCACAGACCAGTGGAGAACTTTGGATCCAATGGAAACCAGTGCATATGAAGATTTTTACTGAGACAATGTTTTAAAGGAAGGTTTCTAGTATTTGTGTGACCTGTACCATTTATTTTATTTTATTTATAAAGTTTATTCATTTCATTTTACAAGAAAACAAAAATAAATTCTGTATACAATAAAAATGCAAATCACAAATGAAAAGCAGCAGCAAGAAGAAAAAATATTTTCTGTCCTGTTTTTCCAAAAAATAAACTCAAACAATATTAATCTACAAATAAAAACAAAAAAAGTCAACTCTTTCTCAAGCAACAATTCACATAGATCCTTTTATACTATTTCATATTTCAACTGACCAACTTTTATCATTCTCTTAAAAATCGATCTGGCATTTCTAACGTCACTCCAGATTATTCCTTAATCTTATCCCTTGGATTGAAATACACCATTCCTTCAAACTAGTTGAAAAATGAGGCTTTACAAACATCTCTATCTCCAATCGATCCAGGACCTGTACCAGTTCTTGTACAGTGATTGGGGACCTCTTAGACCCGTTAACAACTGCTTCTGGAAAACGTCACTGTAAAAAAGAGATTTTCTCATTTGTTTCATGTTTTTGTTTCTACCTGTTTGTACTACCTACAGATTATACTTCACCTCACTTTTTTCATTTTAACAAACAGTAAAAATTGTGATTAAAAAGTCTTACTCCTTCCTGTTCAGTGTTTAAATCCATTCAGCCATGTTTTCTGCTCACTGCCTCTGCATACTAAAACTGTTGCTTAAAGCCTTTTGGTTTTGTTGTCTGATCGAAGCATGATGTTCATCCTGTGCCAATAAATTACAGATATGGAGCCCCTGACCCCTGACATCTCCACTCATCGTTTTATGTGTGTTTTTGGTATTCTTTAAGAATTTTGTTTTGCGTAAAATCAAAACCGAGCCAGAAGACAGAGCTATTGTTCGGCGCGTTTGTGTTGGTCGACTCGCTGTGGTTTTTTTTTTTTTTTTTTTTGTCGAGTGTTTATAAAGTAGATGTGAAGGATAAAAACAGCTCGCAGTCATTTGAGCGAGCCTTGTGACTTCTTTGGGGGCAGTTTGTGCTGCGGTCTGCCGTTAAAGGAGGCCTTGTCCTCGCGGTCATGATGTTGGAGCGCCGTTTCCAACGCGCAGCAACAGACAGTGTTGGGGCGTAAATAAAGTTCTGACTCTGAAAGTTGCATCTGGTCGAATTGTTGGAATTCATGTCCTCATGACACACATGAGTTATAAAGCATTTTGAAAAAAAAAAACAAATAAAACGTTTTGCTATAAAGATTTGTTTGTATGAGCATTTTAATTTGGCAGTGCAAAATAATCTTTTATATAATTTCCTGAAGGAAAAATTTGGTTTTTGACTTTGATGGCAACACTTTACTAAAGATATAGTGCAATCTGTTAGCCCCCAGATCATGTGTTGGGGATCAGTCTCAACTACAACCACACAAAATTTGATCTCAATATTTCTCAATATCCCAGAGTTTTTGCTAAGGTGTGGCAGCCATCTTGTATTGGGTTTGGTGCTAAAGTTATTTAGCTGTAAACATACATCCAGTAATAATTGAAAGTTTCATTGAAATCAGTGGTTCATGGAATATTTTGCTAATAAAGACAAATGCAGCATGTTTGCCCGCCCTTCGTGGCAGCAAGTGAAAAACTAAATTTACTTTAAAACTTACAGTTAATTAAACAGTATATCAGCTGTCTATGACATTTAAAAAATAAAGTATTTGCTGATTGTTTCTGTTTTGTACGGAAGAGAATTCTGAATTTTCACAGAATTCTGAGATTACAGACAGAAGTCTGACTTTTTCCTAATTCTGAGAAATGTTTTTGGAAAAAGTCAGAGTAAGAGGAAAAAAGTCTGTCAGTTATAGTATCAGTCAGTTTGAAACTTTTTTTCCTTTCCTCTGTGTTGAAGCTAAGGGTCTGATCTCAGAGTGCCTCTGTGGTCCGTTCACACAGTCCGATCCATCTCTGATCCAACCTGAGAGGAGTCAAAGGTCGCGAGGCCGCAGCAGGGGACCGGGACGGAGGCGTCAATTAGGGACGACCTTCACACCAATGTCCACCGGCTGAAGGAGAACCACTCCACAGGTGTCAACCGATCCAGGTCCCACTGATCCCCGAACAGAACCTGATGAAGGACAATCAGAATGGTCCCAGGTTTGGAGAAGGTTTTACAAAGAAGTCAAGCTAAAAAGTGGGATTAAAACAAACTCAGACATTTTATTCAGTCAAAAACTTAGACGTGGATTTTTAGATTGCGTCACTTTTGCATCCGTTATGTGGACGATTCAGCATTTTGCAACTTTTTCACTAAAGCAAGTTCCAACATGGTCATATTTCAGTGGAACTGATCCTTGATCTCTGTGCACTCTGATGCAAATGGCGCAAATTTCCAAAGTGAAGCAATTGTGATATTTGTAAGGTTTGTAGATCTTTGACATTCTCTATAAATGAGTATAGGGGTGCACCGATACACCTGCATTTGCCATTAATTTTGGGAGATTGGTGATCAGCCAATACTTACCCGGGAAGATGAGCTTATCAACCGATCTCCCTCTAAAGATCAGCCACTGTCCCCTTTTGCTCTGCTGTGAGAGAGGGCTGTTGTCCAGTTAAAACACGTTTGTACGGTGGCCCCGATGGGTCAACAGAATGCAAAAGCCACAACAAATCCCTGGGAGGAGTTCGCAAAAGTTTGACGTGAGCAAAAGTGAAACTTAAGGAAAATTTGACCTTTGACCCAAAATGGCCGACTTCCTGTTTGTTTAAGGGCATACCGCCAAGATACTTTTTTTCTTAATTTGGGGAGTTCTACCAACGCCCCAAATTTCAGCTCTCTAGGACTTACCAGTTCCTCCATCTCACTCATGTTAAGTGGTGCTGTTGAGTCGTTTGGCCACGCCCCTTTAAAATTTGTCTCAAAGGTATTGTTTAGAGTTTTTCAAGAAAATAAGATTGAACACTTAGCATTTGACAGTGCTGGTCATAGATCGGTGACCTGCCAGAAAACTGCAATCGGTGCATCTGATTGGTTAAACTAAGACCTTTCTGCTGTGTCCTTCAGAGGAGTTCTTGATGTGACCGTCACATCTATTTGATGATAAAGTGTCAGGTTGTTTATTGAGATATAACCAGCACTGATGGAAAACTGCAACAACTGGAAGTTGTCAAAATATGCTGGTAAAAATACTTCATCTTTGGGTCACTTGAAGGAAATGTCTAAAATATAAATGTTTTGATGCCCCCTCCCTCACTGAATCTGCACAAGAACCACTCAGCCTCCTTCATTAGTTCTTATTAACAGCGTCTGTTGAGAGAGAGGCATCTGCAGCGACGTCTGGGCTCGCCAGCGCTGACTGATTCGGAGGAACAATCAACACCGCGTGGTGGTGAGGGGAGCGTCAACACGTCATAAGCTCTTCTGACAGGACGTATCGACCGCGCTTCATCGTCCCGTTACACATTGTGACAGTCGTACCATGCGCCTGTAAAGATGGCATCTGATTGTCTGTTGCAATTATGTGAGCGCAGGAGCAAGGATGAGGCAACGAAGGGCCGACAAGGACGGGAAGAAGGGCGAGGGTCTTTCCACAGAAATGTTCTTCACGAAACTTGTTTCTATGATTCACTAGAGAAAACACTGGATATTACTTATACTTTATACTCATTTCTTTAAAAAACTAGGGGTTTGACTGAAGGGGTTTGGGAATTTTGGTTTTGATTTGATATCGAGCAAACACAGCGGTAGTGTCACCTGTTTCAATGCTGATTCCAATACTTTTTACTGGAAATGTCATTTTAAATAATTTTGTCTTTATTATAAAACAACATGATAATGTTTTATGGCAAATATTGTTTTGTGTGAACTAATTTCAACAATTTCAAACA